TAGTTTTATCAGTATGGCCTCAGTATTCAAATGGCTATTCAGACATACTGAATCTGAGGAAAGCCAATAATGCACAGAGGGGTGGTCTACGGAGATTTTTCAACCAGAAATTATTTTGTTTGTATTATTTTTCAAAAGCTGATTATTTTTTATATGACCCTGTAAAAATACCTATTGAGTTTTAGAAAATAAACCATGTAATTTCACATCCCCCGTGGTTCGCACACTGTGCCCACTTTGAGCAGACCTTCAAAAATAATGTGATGTTTTATCATTTACTGACACAAAAGAAATGGAATGAAAAATCTCCCCAACAGTTGATATTCTAAACTGGGACTCTTAAAAGATGGAGGAAGTCTCAGAGTTCAAAATGCTTATCCATTTCATCTGACTTTGGCCTCTGTGGAAAAGAGCCAGTATTCACATAGCCTTTCAAAAATATTTCTCTGTGTTTGGTGCCTTCTGTGTTCAAGGCTTCTCATTATCCCCTTCAAGGTTTTCTGTGACCTGTCAATTATCTAAAGGCTTTTTCCCTACTTTGTAGAGATTGCCCATTTCCCTTACACTCCTTGCACCTTTGAGTGTGTGTGTGTGTGGTGCATGAATGTGTGTGTGTGCGTGAGTTCCACTCTGGCTTTTCACCTATTCGTCAGCACCCTGTAAGAGTATGGACCCGTCAAATTAAAATTGGAGCTATTTGATATATTATTTTCATGGTTGTAATGAAAGGTTTGGTAAAGAAAGGGATTAAATGGTTGATTTCCATGCCATGTTCACTCTTGGTAATTTGAAAAGCATGTAAATTGTACTTTTATTCTCCCAGTAAGAGAGAAAAGTTTCTTTTGTATATAAGCCTTAATTTTTCCCTTGAATAGGATTTCTTAAGAGAACATAAGATGGTTCATTATCCGCATTTTGTATATTTCCCCATTGTTGGATTCTCTTCTCAACTCAACCATGATGTTTTTTTCTATTTCTCTCTTTAAGTTAATTCTCTTATGTAAAAACTGCCCAGGATCTCCTAAAACATAGTATTTTCATGTGTAGTGCCTTGTCCTCCCACTGTTTTCACCTGGAGAGCAAGGAGTATTCTTCTTGGAACCAAACCCAACACTTCCATGCTTTCTTTGGGCCACATCCTCCACTTTCCCCAGCAGTTATTTTAAGAGAATAAAATCAACTTTGTTACAGAGCAAGGAAGCATTTTCTAAAGTGGTCTTGTGTATTCTAGTTCAGCAAGATGCTTCACTGGAAAGATTCTGTGGTTGTGTAAATCTGAACACATGCCATACTTACTTTATCCCCTTCTTGGAGATTTCTAAGGCACTTATTAGAATATATTAAATATACTAAAGTCTCTGAGAAATCTTGCCTTTGACAAACTTGTTTACTCTTGTTTCCTTGTCATTTCCTGAATGTGTTTGATCACCTACTGAGCCCTTTCTATAGCACATGTTATCGTCTGGCCAAACATACTTTGGGAGATACCGGGGAAGGAATTAGGGACTACGGCTCAGTAAGCCTGGATAAAGCACAGGTATGCAGTGGCTTACTCCTATAGCTGGCTTTTCAGGTCCTATCTGTTTTATCAGTGAAATGCAAACTTCATGGGGGCAAGGACTTCTATCAGTTTTTATCCATTCACTGCTGAATCTCCAGTGCTATAACAGGGCCTCCCATGTATTTGCACTCATTACCATTTGCTAGGTGGAAGGATGTGTGCATCTCTGGATTAGACACCATGACTTTCTTAGCTCAGTCACAGGGGCAGCTCTAGTTTTGGATTGAAATTGGACTTTTAGAGTTGTCTGAATTCTTTAACCAGTTGTTTCGTCTCCCAGTTTTAACAATCAGAACTTCCCAAATTCTTCAACTTAGTAGTTGTGTGCTGCACATTTACCCTATTCATAGCTTTCCATCACCATCATATTTTGACAAGCCTTTATATTTGGGGAAAGTCCTTTGTTATGAGCCTTGCCTCCCAGTGTAGGAGTCAACACTCACATTTTCTAAATCTCTTCCAGCAAAAGGTGCATGACAAACATAAGAGCAGAGTGTTGTGAGGAAACAGGGTGTGTTGCGGAGCAGGTCGTCCAGCTGAGGTCAGGTTCTGATGCCGAACTAGGAGAATTGGAGGGGCCTTCGGGACAAAGGGCAGGTCAGCAATTGCCTGATCAGGCCAGTTCTGCAGGGTGGTCTGAGCCTTGTTCCTGGAAGCTCAGCCAAGAGCCTGGTTTTCCAGGTCCCCAGAACCAAAATCATTCCATTATGCTTAAATGTCCCCACTAAAGTTGTCTTCCACTACAGTAGAAACATGACATCTGTCTAATAATTTCACAGGTCTCAAATTCGTTTTAGAAGATTTTGTCTCATTGCTAAAGATTTCTATGCCTTATATTTGCCAACACCACTTTTCTTATTTCACTGACCTTCATTAATTAATTGCATACACACACGCACACACATTCTTCCTTTGCCTCTTTCTGCTGCCTGTTTTTCTAGGTATTGATCATGCTGTATGTGTGACTTTCCCTTTCTGAAAGCCGATGTCCATGATTTGCTTTTTATAATGGGTCGTTTGTTTTCTTTTGATAACTGAGACCCATGAAAGGATTCCTAATCCCTCTTAAATTATTTCATACTGTGCCTCTCCAGAGATTCTCCTTCATGGGAGTGATTACGCATAGGAACTGCAGAATTCTATTTCCTCATAGTTGGAATAATCTAAGTTAAATTTCAATAATTTAGTTTAATATCCCAGTCATTACCTCTGTCAAACACAGTTGGGAAGAGAATAGGGAGACAAGATCAGTATTGGCTTCCAGTAAGAATGACTCAAAGTAACTGACTTAAGTAAGACAGAGATATTTTTCCTCTTGAAAGACAAGAGTAGAAGTAGGCTGTTGAGGATTAGTATGGTGACTTCATACTAACTGGATGCAATGTCTTTTCTGCTCCACTACCCTTAGTAAAAGGCTTCCATTTTCAGGGTAACCTCAGTCTCACAACATGGTTGCAATAGCTACAGCTTTCTCATTCTCCCTACCATCTGAGTCAATCCCCATTTCAGGAAATCACACTCAATGACTTTCACTCATATCTCTTTGGTCATTCATATCTACAAGAGACACTTAGAAATGTAGTTTTATAATTGGGCAAACTGTCACACCCAATGATGCAGAGCTCTGTTCTCATACAAAGGAAAAAGAAGGGAATGTATATTGAGAAAGCAATGAACAGTCTCTGCTTTAGAGATGGACTTTAAAAAAAATTTGCTGTTTTCCAGAAAGATGCTATGGACTATAAATCCAATGTAACAGTGTTGTGACGATTTCTCATAAAACATATCTTTTACAGAAAAAAATTATGAGTCAGTTCTTTGTATTTGGAGGACTTCCCAGGAATTTGTGTGGTCTCATGGGCCAGAAGGTGGGCACTGATTACCTGTATTAACAGCCACTGTGAACAATGTTGTCCTATGAAATCAAAGCCGCACTTAGGTTGTTGCTATAACTTCTGAAATGCTTTCAAAAGAAAGCACAAGATGCAAACCATACTGCAAATGAAGCACTTTAATAACGCAGCAACAAAATTAATTCTTAAAAACAAGATTCAAAATTCAAGGAATTTTGAGCTTTTAAAAAAGATTTACATCTTTTGAACACAAAACAGAGTCAGCTCTCTTTTGGGCTCATTATAAAGACCAAATCATGGTTACCTTCACAGAAAATAGTTTTGTTATTTCTTCTTGTTCCTTGGTAGATAATTGGAGGTCAGGTCAGGTTGATCTAATTCAGGGGAGGTTCTGCTCAAAATAAAGACAGCTGATGCAGAGAAGAAACAGCCTACGCTGATGTTGCCTCGGATAAGCTATGTTGGCATAAGTGTTCTTTTGCCATTTTAAAGTGACCAGTTCAAAGCTCAAAACCACAAACAGACCCTGGGATTTACAGCATATGGGATATTATCTCTTATGACTTCGTGAGGAAGCACTGGATTTCAAACCAGTGATTCTTTGGAACACTTCTGTGCTGTAATTACTTATTTTCTTATTCTGCTTATTTTTAACCAATCAAAAGTCAGCTTAAAAGTATTCATAGTACCTGGATATGCAAGATTCAGAATACCAAGCCATTTTTTTTCAGAGTTATTTATCTGAACTAATAACAAAGAATTCAGACTGAATTGCTGTACAGTTCTTGCCTTTTCACCTCTTTCCTCTTATATATTCCACCCTTGTAATAAACAACTGGTTCTGCTCAGCCAGTGTGATGGATCCATAACCACCCTCCCCTTCCCTTCCTTTTGTGGTTTGCTGCTGTATAAAAGGAGGACACAGTGATGACTGCCTCATAAACAATAAACACTGGCTTTTACCAAAATGGAGAAAGAATGATATCCAACAGGGGCCATGCCTCTGTGCCTCATTGTAGAGAAGAGGAAACACATCAGCATTATACGTTGGGAGGATGTAAGTTTCCAAAGAGACTGGTGATGGTGGCATGGGTGCGTGCTGGGTGGACTGAGGTGTGGCTGGAGTCAATGTAGCATGGAGGAGGTTGGGTACAGCAGTGACTGGCCATCTTCCCATCACAGTCACACTACAGGGCTGTCCGCAGAAACCCTCTCTCGTTTCAATCAGGCAGATGTTTAATTAGCCTAGTCTTCTCTAGTACTCTTGGAGGTATTCAGAAAACATCCTGGGCGCTGGAGAAGAAAAATATTCTTTCAGCACCACTGGTGACTTTTCTTTTTTCTTCTTTTTTTTAAAAAAATTTGTTTATTTTATTTTTGGCTGCATTGTGTCTTCCTTGCCGCATGTAAGCTTTTCTCTAGCTGCGGCGAGCAGGGGCTACTCTTCGTTGCAGTGCGTGGGCTTCTCATTCCGGTGGCTTCTCTTGTTTCGGAGCACAGGCTCTAGGCATGCAGGCTTCAGTTGTTGTGGCACGAGGGCTCAGTATTTGTGGCTCACAGGCTTAGTCGCTCTGTGGCATGTGGGATCTTCCTGGACCAGGGATTGAACCCATGTCCCATGCATTGGCAGGCAGATTCTTAACCACTGCGCTACCAGGAAAGCCCTGGTGACTTTTACATTCAAACCCAGACAAAACTCAGCTGAAGTGGAGAACTACTCACTTATCTAAGGGGTCAGACTTAGGGCTGGCTGTGAAGCTGTTTCTCTGTGTGGTTTGAACGCATCCTAGTCAGAGTAGAGTTGCAATTGCAGTGGGAACAAGGTAGCAAGGAGAGAGGGTGGGGTGTTGCAGGCAGTTTGGTCACGTGTACATACAGGGTGGCAGGTGTATCAGTGTAGTCACGTGCTCCTGGCCACAAAGAAGAGGAAAGAGTAGGTCAGCTTCAACTCTGCGTCAGCATAAGGCAGACTTACAGCAAAGCCATCTCTCACAGTTCTGAAAATCAGAGGAGTCCATGTGCTTTCTGAATCTGCCTTGGCAAATCCTATTTAAGTTATTTTACTCCTTTACCAGTAATTTAATGTGCAAAGAAAAAGATGCAGTAAAAGTATAAACAGTAGGTGCTATAAAGCACTTTAAAAGGAAAGAAGCCATTCCACAGACATTTTAATGAGGAAGATAAAAGAGCAACAACATTTTTAGAGTATATATTTTACGCAAAAATTTTACTTGAAGTCGTCTAATGAATATGTCAAGCTGAAGCAGTGATTATTTTGTTTTGAATTAAAATTAATTTGTCTATTTATTCAAACTCTAAATTATGGGGGAGAAAATGTATGGAGCTTAAATCATCCTCTAATTTTGGAGTAACTTTTTTACTGTTTATTCATGAAGCACTTTCAGCAAGGCACTCACAGCCTTTTAAATGATTGAAAGAAAATAAAGCTCAAGATGAAGCAGAGTAGAAGCTCAGAGCTTAAGTTCTGGTTCTGGCCTCCTGTTTTTGTCTTCTTGGGTTTAGATACTGACTTAGTACACAGACAGTCTAGTGATGGAGAAAATTGACATGAGTAGCATGATAAACATTTGAGGACCAAGATCCTTAAACTATAAAGTATTTCAGAATGTGGAAGATCAGGAAGAAAATGGATTACGATGGCTTGGAATCTCTGATAAAATGATGATGATAAAGTTTTAGAACTATATTTTTCCTTTTCAGAGCACAGATTATGAAGTTCCTAGGACCAACTATGAGATTTCTTTATCTAAAATACTTTAGCATAGTATTTTTTCTGGCTAAGTCATTGCTTTTCTCATAAAATTTTAATTTTTATCTGGGCTTGATTGGCACCTTTTTCAATAATGTTGACATGATCTTTTATTATTCTGTGTGTGTGTGTATAATGTATATATATCTCTTTGGTATATAGAAGTTTATACACAGAAATTACATAGAAGATATATTTAGAAGCAATAAAATTTTCATTTACAAATAGGAAATCACACTGGAATCTGGAAGACTAAAAGGACAATTGTAAAGGAGAAGTAGGAATGTCTGGCCAGTATTGAGTAATAAATTGTTGTTGATTGAATGAATAAGGGAAACTCCTCCTTCATTAAAAGACCTTTGCGATTAGTAGTGAAAAAACATGATGGCATATAATAACCACTTCTTTCTACATAATGTCGTTCTTAGAATATCCTTGGGAAATGAGTAGGTCAGATGTCATTGTTATTCCTATTTGCTGATAAGGAAATTGCAGTTTGAAGTTTGAAAAGCCTTGTTCAGAACTGGTAAGTGACAAGGCTGAGGCTTGGCTTCAGTCAGATGATTCTAAATTCTCTGCATTTTGCTACTCTTGATTTCTGTCCTGTGTGTGTGTGCGTGTGTGCATGTGTGTGTGTGTGTGTGTGTGTACAGTGAAGTAGCCCAGTTTTCAGTGATTGCTACTGCGAGTGTAACCGAAAGTGGGGTCCAGCTCCTCGCTGCTCAAATGCCAATAAAGAGGCAAGGTTGGTGTAAAGGAAAATTTGCTTCATTTCAGATGCCGGCAACTGGAGGGGTGGACAGACTCCTGTCCAAAGGCCGACTCCACCCTACCCCACGCCCTGACAACCAGGGGCACGAGCTTTTATAGACAGAGGGAGGGGGCTACATGCAGAAAGAGTCAGCTCTGACAGTCATCCTGAAATTGGTCATCGGTGGTCTGGCCAGTGTCATCTTGATTGTTTTAAGTAAAATTAATCTTCAGTTCCAGGGTTGTGTTTTTCCAATTTCCTTGAGGCCAGTTCTCAGAATTGTGGCAGCTTATGTCATGGCTACAGTCTGGTCATCATATAGTTAACCTCTTCCACCTGATGGGGGTTTCAGTATCTATAAGATAGCTCACATGATATGGCTCAGAATATTATCTATAGCCCTTGAGAAGGAACTAAAGGTACTTGACTTTGCTTACTGACTAAACTATTATTGCTTGGTCTTCTTTGACTGCTTTCCTTTGCTTCTGCATTTTCTCACTTCTCTTATTAAACTTATTTTTGGCTAAAGTTTTTCCACAGACAAAAGGCAGGCTGAGGACATGGGTGAGGGGGAAAGGGCCATAGGGTCCTGCTCCATTTCCCCAGGGTCTGAATGTTTGTGTTCTCCCCAAATTCATATGTTGAAAATCTAATGCCCAAGGTGATGGTATTGGGAGCTGTGGCATTAGGAGGTTTGGGAGGTGATTAATAGGATTAGTATCTTATAAAAGAGGCCTCAGAGAACTCCCTCACCCTTCTGCCATGTGAGGATATGAGGAGAAGTGTGTGACTTGGAAGAAAGCCCTCACGTGAACATGCTGACACTCTGACCTCGGACTTCTAGCCTCCATAAATGTGAGAAATAAATTTCTGTGTTTTGTAAGCCACCAAGTCCATGGTACATGTGTATAGCAGCCAGAACCGACTGAGAAAGCTATCTAACCACAGTGCAAACCAGTCAACTCTTTGTTGTCAGGCCACATGATTTACATTTGATCACATTTTCCAGCTTCCTTTTTTTGCCCCTAATTTTGTAATGTCTATCCTGTGCCACGTTACTGGTTCTGGAACAGTTGCTGAAAAAGGAACTTGTTGAAATGAAAAAAGGGGATAATAAAAGAGAAATGATGAGTTTTACTACAAAGCTACAGGTCCAGGGTCTTTGTGTTGGAGACTTTTCTTAGGCTAGAACATCCATCTCCTGTGTCTGTCCTACACACATGCACAGTCCAGAAGGACATGAAAGAATTTAACAATAACAAACATTCAAGTGTCCACTCCTGCCTTCTGCTCAGTGATGGCTCTCAGTTCTTCATGTGGAAATGGCCATTGGAACAACAAGTAGGACAAAGAGACAGCAAGGAGTTTCTCGGCAGAAGCAGCAGCTCGAAGAAGTAAAATAAATTCACACACCAGGGTTATGTTGTTCCTGGACATTGGAGAGAATAGCTGAAAAGGAGAGATCTGTGTTCTACCAGCAAGAGTCTCTGTCTGGTCTCTTCTTTCTGAGTGTGACCTTTCTCCGTGTCATGCAACCTATGGAGACAATAGAGCATAATCTAATTTTTCACGTGATAACTCCCCTTTCCCTTTGTTGTCACACATTTGTATGACTTAAGATCTGCAGATATATTATACTCTTAACCTTTTCCACAATCCAGGAGTTGACCACAGGGAGAATACAGTAACATTTTGTGTTTATGTAATATATTGTGCCTGAGAACTATTTGTGTTTTGGAGATAGTTCAGCAATGTGTCAGTCTCTGCCTTCTGGTCTCCAGCAGCAAGAGCTGAAGTGCTGACAGTCTTGCGAGCTCCTGCTTCTAAGGTGAAGAACTGGAAGGAGCTGCTAAGCCCATTTCAGGAACCTGGTACACTGGACGGTTGCCTGAGCTCCTAGAGGCCCATGTGAACAGAGAGATGTGGCTTTCTTACTTGTAACAGCAAGGCATAATATTATTTGAACATTGTCTGGGTAAATTAAAGGGTTTAAACCCCAGAATAACCTCTAGACATGGATACAAGTAAACAAATAAGCATAGGCATCCATTAAGATATAGAATGAAATACTAAGCATTTTTAATTAATGCAACAGGAAAAGAAGGAAAAATGAACAGAGAGGACATATAAAAAACAAATAGCAAGATAATGGATTTCACCCAATCATATCAGTAATTACATCATATGCAAATGCAACAAATACTCAAATTGAAAAGCAAAGATGGTCAGATTGAAAAAGTAAAGACCCAATTATATGTTGTTAACAAGACATTCACTTTACATATAAAGACTCTGGCAGATTGAAGCAAAATTACAGAAAAAAAATTATGCGAACACTAATCATAAGGAAGCTGGTTTGGCTCTATTAATATCAGACAAAGTAGGCTTCAAGATGGAGAGCTTTATTAGAAGAAAGAGGAGCATTTTATAATTATAAATAGGTCAATTAATCAAGAAGACATAACAATCTTAAATATGTATACACCTAGTAACATATAAAGGTAAAGGTGACAGAATTTAATGGAAAAAATAGAAAAATCCACAGCTATACTCAGAGATTTCAACATTCCTCTTTCAGCAATTGATAAGAAAGTAGGCAAACACCCAGAAAGAATATAAAAGAGAACATAAAGGATATAAATTAAGCAACTTGACTTTTAATTAAACTTTATAGAATGCTGTATGCAAAAATTACAGAATACTCATTATTCTCAAGCACGCATGGAACATTCACAAATATAGACCCTATGCTGGGCTGTACAATGAGCCTCAGTAAATTTAAAAAATCCTACAGGCCACAATAGAATTAAATTCAAAACTAATAACAGAAAGTTATCTGTAAAGTCCTCTTATTTATTTGGAAATTAAATAATTCATTTCTTGATAACATGTGGACAAAAGAAGAAATCATAAATAGAAAATATTTTGAACTAAATGTGAATGAAAATAGAACATATAAAACCATCTAGGTATTTATCCAGCCATAAAAAGAATAAAATAATGCCATTTGAAGCAACATGGATGGACCTAGAGATTATCATACTAAGGGAAGTAAGTCAAACAGAGAAAGAAAAATATCAGATGGGTGGGCCAGAAAGTTCCTTCAGTTTTTAAGTAAAAATAAAAGACATATTTTTCACCAAGAACTTTATTGAACATATTCACCATTTTGTTCCACTACCTTCTGCTATTTTTCAGGCAACTTCACAATTCCATCTTGCCAAAACTTTTTACCTTTTTGAGCAAATAACTGTGCAAGTGCCTTTTACAGTCTTCCAAGGAATTTAAATATTTTTCCATTAAAAGAATTTTGGAGGAACCAAGATGGAGGAGTGGAAGGACGTGCTCTCACTTCCTCTTGCAAGAACACCAGAATCACAACTAGCTGCTGGACAATCATCGACAGGAAGACACTGGAACTCACCAAAAAAAAGATACGCCACATCCAAAGACAAAGGAGAAGCCACAATGAGATGGTAGGAGGGGTGCAATCACAGTAAAATCAAATCCCATAACTGCTGGGTGGGTGACTCACAGACTGGAGAACACTTATACCACAGAAGTCCACCCACTAGAGGGAAGGTTCTGAGCCCCACATCAGGCTTCCCAACCTGGGGGTCTGGAAACAGGAGGAGGAATTCCTAGAGAGTCAGACTTTGAAGGCTGGTGGGATTTCATTGCAGGACTTTGACAGGACTGGGGGAAAGAGAGACTTCACTCTTGGAAGGCACACAAAAAGCAGTGTGTACATTGGGACCCAGGGGAAGGAGCAGTGACCCCAGGGGAGACTGAACCAGACCTACCTGCTAGCGCTGGAGGGTCTCCTGCTGAGGCAGGGGTTGGCTGTGGTTCACTGTGGGGACAAGGACACAGGCAGCAGAAGTTCTGGGAAGTACTCCTTGACGTGAGCCCTCCCAGAGTCCAACATTAGCCCCACCAAGGAGCCTGGCTAGGCTCCAGTGTTGGGTCACCTCAGGCCAAACAACCAACGGGAAGGAAACCCAGCCCCACCCATCAGCAGTCAAGTGATTAAAGTTTTACTGAGCTCTGCCCAACAGAGCAACAGTCAGCTCTACCCATCACCAGTCCCTCCCATCAGGAGACTTGCACAAGCCTCTTAGATAGCCTCATCCACCAGAGGGAAGACAGCAGAGGCAAGAAGAGCTAAAATCCTGCAGCCTATGGAAAAAAAACCCTTTCACAGAAAGATAGACAAGATGAAAAGGCAAAGGGCTATGTAGCAGTTGAAGGAACAAGATAAAACCCCAGAAAAACAACTAAATGAAGTGGAGATAGGCAACCTTCCAGAAAAAGAATTCAGAATAATGATAGTGAAGATGATCCAGGACCTCAGAAAAAGAATGGAGCAAAGATCGAGAAGATGCAAGAAATGTTTAACAAAGACCAAGAAGAATGAAAGAACAAACAAACAGAGATGAACAACACAATAACTGAAATGAAAAATACACTAGAAGGAATCAATAGGAGAATAACTGAGGCAGAAGAACGGATAAGTGACCTGGAAGACAGAATGGTGGAATTCACTGCTGCT